GTTGGAAAAGTGGGGGTCGTCTTGTACATGGGGGCATCTTATTGACAGAAAAATACGGTACTTACTCTGAGGTTCAATTATATTCAGAACAGGCTCTGCACTGCTTGCTGCTGAAGTAGCAATATTCTTCATGCCCATCTCTGCCCTCTCAAAGACTGCTTGGATAGTTGGATGGGACCTTTTGGCAGAAGTATAGGTAGAGGAAACCATTTCATAGGTAGAGCTTACTAATGGCAGATCAGCAATCCTTTTGATGACAGACTAAGAAATAAGATACCACAGAGTCACCATCTTACTGGATACTAGAAGAGGTTCTAGATTGTTGAATTCCAATCAGATCATATTCATGAAAGCCAGAGTTATCAATGAAGCTATGATTCATGCTGGTATGTAAAACCACATCGACAATAGTCTGATACTGAACTCTAGTTTGTTACTGTATCTTTCTCAGAACATTTTTATTATGAACATAAAAACAGCTTCCAATACAACAATGCTGTCAACCCATTTGTCTTCTTTAAGAGCCACAAAAGCTTTCCTCTGCATTTCCTTTAGATAGCTTTACTGTGACTAAAATGGGAGCCAATGTGCCTGCAGCTCCTTAAAATAAAATAATAAAAAAAAGGATATAGATCAGAAGACTCATGTTGGGGTCTACGTGAGAGACTACATGTATAATTTGGCCCTTAGATGCTATCATTACTTCTTTCAGTCTGAAACGGTAACAGAGCAACATTGTCCACCTACCTGGTCTTCATGTTCTGTGTTTCCAGGACTTACAGACATTACCTCTTCTCCAGGAGAAGACATGATGATGATGAGAAAGAGAAGCCACCACTACAGAGGGTCAAGATCCAATTCAACCATCACATTAACACATCCAGATACATTACACACAATTTAATCAGCTATTGTAGCAGAAAGCTAGCTAAATAAATGAACCCTACCCTATATTTAAGGAACGTTTATTCCAAGCTTGATCTGTTAACACTATGAGGACATTGGAGATCTCAGAGCATGGCTTTAGAGGTGAGGGCAAAAAGGTTCCTTCCATTATAGTACAGCTATATTCATACAACACACTTAGATGTACTGTAATTTGCTTGGTTTTGGCTTATAAGCTACAGTTTATTATTGTACATTTTGCCAACTAGCTGTGGTTTGTATAAATGTTCAAGTAGCTTTACATGATCATGAACCCATGATTTACAAATTAACAGTTCAGGCTTCAGACAAGAGCCCTTTATCATCTCTGGAGAGGAAGAAAGAAAAAGCAGTGATCCTACACACTTTTGGGAGAACCCACTTCCAAGAAATCCACCCTCAAAAAAACATCAATATCTCATCCCCAATTCTATAGTTAGTTATCAGTTTAGTACAGCACAACTCCTTTCCACACAGTAATCAGAAATAGGTGGTATTTCTGTACATCATTTATAAGTGTATGCATTTCATTGCAGTTTTAAATTTAAATTGGGAAATACCTTTATTAGGGTCAGTTAACTCTGGCACAGGTAGAGTTTCTCTCCAGCAGAGTGTGGGTGACCAAAAGTTCGTTCTCTTGCCACTGTAATCCCAGCAAAGAATCACAGAGCATTCTAAAACTTGCGTATATTGGGGTGATAATTGGGTTGACCTAAACTCACATTCCCACTTTGCCTTAGGGGCATTTTCTATACAGATTAACCAGATTGTTCAGGACCAAACCAAAACAGCTCTACTCTTCCAATGTTGTAGACCAATGATTTCTTCCTTTCCACAAATGGAAATTGAAGCTCTTCTATTTTAAGGAATAGAGATTTGTCATGCTGTGGTCCTTTAGATTCATGTACTTGCAACTCCCCAGCTATGTTAGCCTAATCAGGAAAGACCAATAAAGTTGGGTGTGGCTGTGCTAGTTTCTCAGAGCAAAACCAATAAAAAAAACCCTCACAGTATTTCAATTCACAGTTCTTTAAGGTAGAACCAAAGATTTCTGCAGAACAAGCCAAAGGCAAAATCATTGGGGCATAAACAAATATGGTCCCTTTTAAGAAACTCAGTTAAACTAAGTTTCTGGGAAATACCCCTTGCCTCAAAGTATAGCAGAGCTAAATTGTGCAGGATCTTTTTCATTGCATTACAGCACAATGTAACATTATCCAAACTACATGAGGCCAGGATACTACATGATAAAAGTCAATAAAATATTTTAGCAAAACTTAAAAGCAGGGCATAAGAACAGTAAACCTCTTCCAGAAATCTTCCGCATTGGTATTCAGAAGTATCCAGTGGCATTCACTGCCTCTGAATTAGGAATTTCCATTCAGCTATCAAGGCTGTCAGACCAACAATTTGCAAAAATACATTGGTTTTGCTTTTCAGAGTCATATTTAAAAAGAAAACAGAAAGACCTTATGCAACTTTAAACCACATTTCAGAAAAAACATAGCAGCTCAAATCACCCACACCTACACTTGTACATACCTCAAAACCAACCATAAAACCACTTCTGGCTTCTGTGGCTTTATATACCACAAATGATGAATTGCAGAGGCGGGCTATTATTGACAGACTGTTCCAAAAAGCAATCAGAAGCTTTCTGCTGAATGGGAGATAGGATAATTGTGTTAGGTATTCTTCTATGAAAGGTAATTGCTGTAATCTGTATCCCCTTAACAACCGTGATCAGGCTGGCTAAGAATTATGGGAACTGGAGTACAAAACAGCAAGAAGACCTGATGTCGGAAACAGTAGCTGTCAATTTACAGCGACCATACATCCCTTATTATGAAGGACAGTCCTTCATTTCAGAAACCTGTCCTTTAGATTTATTTAATTTAATTATTTTCTGGGTTTTGCTCTTGAATTTTCTTTTGTAAAGCAGTCATAAACAGAAACTATTCAATTTTTGTATCCTTACAAACCTCTTTCAGATTTGCCCCTTTATTTTTTCCAAGAAAATATGATTACTGTATGTAAATTAGAAAAAATGTAGCTAGTAATTTTTTCTTTTTACCTCTGTACATCCCCTTTTCCTACCACCTCTCTTAAAACGTATCTGGAGCCATTTACCATATCTACAAAGTACGTCTTGTGTGTAATAGTGAATGTATATGCACATTTCAATAGTAGCCATGATATCTGTTTAGTTCCTGATTCATTTGCAGCTCTCAGGCTCTAAAAATCAATTGTAATTCTATGTAGTTGCTTTCATACAGCTCAAGTCGTTCACAGACTGTTATGTGCCTCTCGTGAGAGAAAACTGGCAAGAGCAGAGAGAAAGTTCATATGAGGTAATTCTCCTCTGCAGTTCAAAATGTTAGCAAATGTCTGCTATGCTTTGCAGTGTTGTATCCTATAGTGCTATAAATTATTTAGGTGTATAGCCTAAGGATCTGAGGTCCCTACTAAATAATCAGTTATTGAAAAACTGGTGTGACAAATGTGTTGCTTGAGATGGCTAACTGACTTAGCTAAAGCAGGACTGCCCCATCCTGTTGCTTATTCTCTAATGAGGCTTGCTTGCTTGCCAATCATTCAACAGGGGAAGCTTGCTTCATCCCTGTAGGTTGTGCATTTGCCTGTCACTTAACTGTTAATTGTTCAGCATTTCTAATTGAAAAAAGGTGACATTTCTGAATTAGCGTGAATTTAGAAAGACCACCTTTTTTCAATTAGGAAACTTTTTTCAACTATGGAAGGAATAAGCAGTGCTGTGCTCTACACTGCCTATTTTAAGGCTTAGCTAAATGTCATGATGTGGGGTGCTGCTGTAGCAAGCTTCAAAGAAAAATAAATGGGCGACAGCATTCTCAATGCATTTTAGCCATTTTAATTTATTTCCAGTTACAATTCACAGTATTGCTTTGTCTTAGCAAGTAAAGAATATCTGCAGAACTGCCTTCTTCCCCCTAACTTGCAATCTTGAGATCATCAGTTGAAACTTTTGTTCAAAGTTTTGGATGGCACCCAACCAGAAAAAATCCTATTCAGCCATACTTACCTGGGGCCATTTTGCTATCTTTTAAATACTAAGTAAAATGTGTTCCTTTTCCCAAATATACAATGGGATTTAATAAATGATGTCCAATCCATACTTAAGGTCTTTCCTCACTGTTGAGTTGAAGTACCCTTTACCCATCCTTGAACTGGCAGAAAACTACTACTCTGTCTTGAAATTTCTTGCATACATTCCTGATTCCTATCAAACCTCTGTTTTGACTTGCTGCAGAATGTTGCTGTCCTCATTCTGCATACACAGTGCAGAATGAACAAAGCAACTGGTTGATTTCTACAACTTTGCTGTTTGCTGTTTTATGTACCAGTGAGAAAAGACTGTCAATCACAGCAGGAATGGGGAGGGTCTGGCTACAAGATTGTTTTCTATGGAGTCCTTGGTCCTCTCTGAGCTTGGTTGTTTGCTTGCAGGCATTTCATTACCCAACTAGGTAACATCATCAGTACAAGTGAGTGTGAGGTTTGCTTCCTATTTATATGCAGTAGTTTGCCCTGCAGGTTTGGGTGAGGGCGTGGTTTTCTCCTTGGTAGTTCCTTGATTAGGGTATTGTGTTCTGCTTGATTGTTTGCCTGTGTTAATCCCTGCTTATCTGGGTGTAGGCTGCTGGAGAGGATGTGTTCTGGCCTTTTTGTTTCCTTCTTAGCTTTCTTATTGTCTCTTTTGAATGGTGTGAAAATATGGTTTATTTCTATGTATATATTGATGGCTGATTTGACTGAATGCCAAGCTTCCAGGAATTCTCTAGCAATTTTGGATTTAGCTTGGTCTAGGATGCTCACAGTTTTTCAGTGGAAACTATGGTTGAGTCTGTCCATGTGTTGTGAGATTAAGGAGTTTTTATTGTGTCTTCTGACTGCTAGTTAGTGTTCATGGATGTGCTCTGCTAGTCTTCTGCTTGTCTGTCCTACATAGTGGCTGATATAGTCCTTACACTGTATTTTGTAAATGACTCCTGCTTTTTCTTCTTGGGGTACTGGGTCTTTTGGTTTACTTGAAATGTTTTGGAGGGCTTTAGTTGGTTTGTGTGCTACAGTCGTGTGTTTGTAATAGACTGTTGTTTGTTCCTGAGATGTTTTTGATGTGTGGTAGTGTTATCCTTTTCATAGCTTGTGTTGGTTGGACTGTAGTGGTTTGAGTGGTCAGGTACTTTTTGATAAAGTTGCGCGGATACCCATTTTGTTGGAAGATGTTGTATAGGCAGTCTGTTTCCTTTTTCTGGTGTTCTGAATTGCTGCAGTGCGTTTGTACTCTGAATAATGTTCTTACACAGCTCCTCTTGGGTTCTGAGTTGTTACTTTGGTCATGGAGGTTGGGTTGTTACTTTGGTAATGGAGCATTTGGTTAGTGTGGGTTGTTTTTTGATAGACTTGCATTTCTAATTTGCCATTGTTTCCTCTGCTGTTGAAGATATCCATGAAGAGTAGTATGTTGTTGTTTTCTTCTTCCCTTGTGAATTTTATTCCTTTGAAGATGTTGATAGTTTCATGTGTCTTCTCTAGTTGTTCCTTTTTTATTATGACGAAAGTGTCGTCTACATACCGGATCCATCTTTTGGTTCTATGTATGGGAGTGCTATAGTTTCTAGATGCTGCATTATGGTCTCTGCTATGAGTCCTGAGATCCCATGGGTATTCCTCTGATTTGTTGGTACAAATAAAGGAACAACTAGAGAAGATACATGCAACAATCAATAACTTCTTTAAAGGAAGAAGCTGAGTCACAAGCAACATTAGCAGGACACATCTGTGCTCTGGTTAGATCCAAGTGGCGAAAGACCCGCAATGTGGGAATGTTGTCTTTACCTACAATTACAGT